CAACAGTAACCCAGCAAACTGGGCAAGATGGCTTTTGAACAAGTCTGAAGAGCAAACGCAAATATCAAAAGAAGGAGATATTAAAGGACCATAGCAAAGGCATCTTGGACAAACTATTTGAGAAGGAAACAATACATATAAACTTTAGCTTGGCATTCATGGAGAGCTGCCAGGATGAGCAGCGCTTGTGAGACCTGATCCAACCCATATGAATGCCCCATACCTCAGGGAAAGGGTGAATCAAGGAGAGACAGTATGTGTCAGCTTTAACACTGAAATCACTGCTACCTGGTTTCACAAAACAAAACATAAACCATGTGATTTAAAACCATCAGCCTTGCACTGCTGCAGCCCACCTAGCAAGGAAACCACCTAGGAGACATGGAGATCTGCCAGGCACCCAGTGTGTCAGAGCTTGGTCAACTCCAGCTTTTGGTCACTGAAGAAGTTTGATGGGGAATCAAATAGCTGACAAGCAAAAGCCAAAACGATCACTTCACATCCATCAAGAAAAAGCCAAATCAAGCACTTCACACTCGTCAACTTCCCTGACTGCAGCTTTGATTTGTTACTCATCCCTAAAGAAGTTGTGGCTATGGAGAGCAATCACAGCTTATTCAGTTGTCGTGGGGGGGGCCCCCCCCCAGCCTGGCCTGGCTCTAACCAGTAACACCAGAGATTCTATTACCTTGCTTAAGGGAAGCAGAGCTTGCAAAGAGGGTCCATCTCTCACTTCCCCCCTAGAGACCCAGCAGATCACCCTGTTAACTTTGAGCACTCCCAGTCATCCTAACCAGCCATGGGGTCATAAAAGTTGTGAGAATGAGTGGTATGACCATACCATACTAATGTTTCTCAAATCTTTGAGCCTGGAGAAGGAAGAAAGCAATGGGTGGAACATCAACAGAATGGGGCAAGAGTAAAACCACATTCAAATCCCTGCTTTTGTTCAACTACCTAATAGCCAGCAAACACAGAATCTCTTACCTTTTGACCTCAAAGAGCCTCAGAAGCTACTTCCTCTCCATATTTGAGCTCTTTTAAGATGCACATATTCAAGGGTGGGGGGGAGGACAGCAAACTGATGTGTTCAGTGCCAAGTTGCTTTGGCCGTGTGGTTCCCATTAAATACACCACAGCCCATGGCAGCTGCTCTCAGAGGTACAGGTGCTGCAGGGGCAGTCAAGAGAGCTGGAGCATGCCAGGAAAAAGAGAGGGAGCAAAGGCCTCAGGAACACCAGCAGCTGCTGAGAGCCCATATAACTTCAAGAGGACACCTGGGCACACCTCCTCCCCTGGCAGTCTTTTCACTGAAGCAGATTAGGTTGTATTTAACTTCCTTAGGTCACTGGAGCACTAATTCTTTATAATTGGATTGTGTTGCATATCACTCAATACCAATCTGGATAATCATTTAATTTTTTTAAGAAAATAATCATCTTTTGATAAAAGAACCTAAACCCATCAGCTAAACTGCTTAAGAAAGCTGTTCTTTGCCCATAGAATCATAGAATGGTTAGGGTTGGAAAGGACCTTTAGATCATCAAGTTCCATCACAGAAGGGTTGAGGTCATCCCCATCTCTGGAGATCATCTAGCCCAAGTGCTTCACACACAGCAGGGTCAATGACAGCAGATTGCCTGGGACTGCACACAGCCAGGTTTTGAAGATCACCAGGGATGGAGACTCCAAAACCTCTGTACCAGTGTTCAACCATTCCCACAGTGAAGAAAGCTTTTCCTTACATGTAAACAGTATTTCCTGTGTTTCAGTGTGTGCCCATTGCCTCTTGTCCTTCCACTGGGCACCACTGAGAAGAACCTGGCTCTGTCCTCTTTACTCTTCCCCACAGGTATTTACACACACTGGTAAAGACCCCTCCCTGAGCATTCTGTTCTCCAGGCTGACAACCCCAGGTCTCTCAGCCTCATCAGCTGCAATCCTTTAATTGTCTTAATCATTTTCAGTATGTTAAATAATTTCTTTTAAATTGCCTTGAAAATTTGCATAGTTCTTTTTCCAGTTGGTGTGGTTGAAACAACCATCACCTTCGTGGCCTTTGCTGGATTGCATGATTGCCCCTTACTCTCTAGTTTGATTTTAATAGCTTCTGCCAAGCAGTCATCACCCTCAAGGAAACTATCAAGGCAGCAGGCTGTTCGGGGCAAGAACTTTGTTTACAACCAAGGAACAACAGATATCGCTTAGCAGACTGTTATAATGCTTGCACCTATTTTAGTGCATACCATAGCATAGGGACTATGTAAAACCAGCTGTTTTAAAAGCACTTGCCCTATAAAGACTAAGCATGCTGAGGCATTCCCATTTGAGTATGTTTCTCCAGGTGGTAATATGCTTTTTGCCAACTTGTGGGCCTGTCATTTCACTTCCTAGCTTGGGTGGATGCCTTGCATTGCATAGGGAATGTTAGTCATCTGGATTCACCTCCCATTTAGAAATGAGGTCCTACACCTGGATCGGGCAGTCCTGCACAGCTACAGACTGGGCAGAAAGTGGACTGACTGAGAGCAGCCCTGAGGAGAAGGGCTTTGGGGTGTTGGTTGGTGAGAAGCTCAACATGAACTGGCTTCAGTGTGTGCTCGCAGCCCAGAAATCAACCGTGTGCTGGGCTGCATCAAAAGGATCATGTTCAGCAGGTCAAGGGAGATGATTCTGTCCTTCTACTCTGCTCTCATGACACCCCCCTGCAGTCCTGTGTCCAGCTCTGGGGGCAGCAACATGAGAGGGACATGGAGCTGTTGAAGTGAGTCCACAGGAGGCCACATAGATGCTGCAAGGGCTGAAGCAGCTCTGCTCTGGAGCCAGGCTGAAAGGGCTGGTCTGGTCTTAGAACAGCTCCTGTTGCCTAAAGGTGCCAACAACAAATCTGGAGAGGAACTATTTAGAAGGGCATGCAGGGACAGGACAAGGGGGAATCACTTTAACCTGACAGAGACTGAGATTAGACATTAGGAATAAATTCTTCCCTGTGAGGGTGCTGAGGGTGCCCAGAGAAGCTGTGGCTGCCCCATCCCTGGCAGTGTTCAAGGCCAGGTTGGATGGGGCTTGGAGCAACCTGCTCTAGTGGAAGGTGTTCCTGCCTGTGACAGGGGTTGGATCTGAATGAGCATTAAGGTCCCTTCCAGCCCAAACCATTTGGATTCTAGATTCTAGTCCTTCCCCTGCCATTTGCCAGCACCTTCTCTGCTTGTCAAAGCAGAACCATTTTCCTGCATGTTTTCTGCAACATGTGCTACAGAGCTCCTGGCAGCATGGCACAGGGAGTCCTGTTACACCAGCAGTCATGGGGACCTGTCGCATTCTCAGTGTTGCTTTGGAAGACACAGCACACCTGGCTAAACGCCTTTGGTTCATTTTATGTAGCACTGAGTATATAAAAATACTAGAATCATGTAATTGCTTGACCAGTCTAACACAGTTTCTGTGAAGTGGCTTTCCTAGAGGATTAACAGAGCCTGTACCTCTGTTTGCATGGTAAGGCCTGTGACGAGAGCATCCATCCAGCCACCAGCCTAGCTGGATCTCACAGGGTACAAATGGAAGGTGGCAGACTGTAAGGCAATACCCCAACAGCTCAGGGGACTTGCCTATAAGGATTAGTTAAAGGGCACCTGTGTAATATGGTCTGTGCACTGGGATTACAAATTAATTGAAGAGATGCGGTACACCGATTTCAACGCATCACTGGCAGAGCTGTGATTCTGAGTGCAGAAGGAAGCACAGACCCAGTGCAATTAAGGGCTGTGTGTTTACAGGAAAAAAAGATAATCCTTTCAAGTAGTTAAGTTCCCTTCCCTCTCCTAATTTTGCAGTAATTGTTGCGGTCCTAATGCTCTGCTTCACTTTGACAAATGCTAACCTTTGTTTCATTAAGAGAGATTTTTATTGTATCCATATGGACCTATTTTTCTTTTCCTGTTTTAGAAAGCTTCCAGGGTGTATTTTTATGGAACCAAAATATTTTGCTTTTCCAGAGCTATAGAGTTGTCAGCTGTCTTGTAGCAGGGACAATTACTGAAATTAAGCAGTGTTAGAAGAGGAAATGCCTTTCCACAGAAGAGGAAATACTTTTCTCAGCCACCATCTAGTAAATGCTCTGTGTTTCCCCACAGGAAGTCACATCAGGCAAATAACATGGTTCTGGACACAGTGTGCCTTGGAGGGGACAATGAAGTTTCAGTGCTTTGGAGCACATGTTTTAGCATGATTTGTTAAACCTGGATTAAGGCTGATTTGCGTCTGCTCCACCCTGGCCCAGATACACAGCTGTCCTACATTGCACACCAGTCATTGGCATTTAAATACCCTCTTTCCAAGCCCATGTCTTCAGGCAGGTTATTTCCCACCTGTCAGACATCTGAAATAACAGCCCTAAGTTTAATAGCAATGCATTTCTAGGTTTATTGTACACCAAGAAAAAAACCCAAACAGGAATATTTACATGGATAATGTGATATATTTATTAATCCCAATGATGGCCTAATTCAACATCTATAAATGGTGTCAAGACCTCTACAACACAAGCATATTGCTTGAGAGTGGAGATGATGGTTGGTGCTCTGCTGCAGAAATGGGACTGATGTGTAACTAGAAAACTAGAATACCAGTAATCCTGCTGTGTGAGTGTTGAGAAAAGTAACTTCACAGAACTCCTTGGAGAAAAGCAAGGACATTTGACCAGGAGACTCCATCTAACATATTACAACCTGGTCCCAGGAATGTGTTTCTAGCTAGTATTCAAAGCCAAGCATGAAGGTGTAGTCACCAACCACAGAGGAGCGGAAGCTGTGTTAGTCTGCAATGCAGCACTGTACTTTAGAGCTGTACTGATTCCAGTCATCCCATACCAAACAAAGGAGGAACTTTTGGAGTTCTGTTTCAAATCAGTTATGCTGTCTTGAAGAAAGATTATTCTTTTTCTTTAAATCCTATCTATAAAGTGTTATCCCGTGCATGAAGAACAAAAGACCCAGCAGGTATTCAGAAAACAAGCTTTCATTTATTGTGAAGTTCCTGCAACAGTAAACACCTTATCAGAAGTACAGTGAACTGGCATTTTAAAACACTGAGCTGTCCTCCAGGAACACCACCTGGAATACTCAAGAGAGATCTTAAGCCATGGAATAGCTCAGTGCAGAGTCCACCTTGCTCCCTGTCCCCTGCCAGCACCACCAGTGGAGAATGGGCAGTTGATTTTTAGTCGCATTTCCTACATGTTAGCTCTCAAGAGGTTGATCACAACCTGGCACGTACCTTTTTGTATGTAGGGGCCCTCAAATGAAAGGTGTAAGAAATGCGACAAATCACAATGCAAATTCAGCTTTGGGCAAAAAAGATTATTTTATAGAGCTTTAATTTAATGACTATAAAATCTATTGTCTCCTGCTTAAAGAGGTAAACGTAGCAACAGGACAAGAGGAGACAAGGCTTTGCTTTTAACTAGCTGTTTATTCCAGCAACTGCAACAGGGGCAGAGTCCTGGGCTTACCCTGCCTACAGTGTTCATGTCTCTCACACACATCAGAACCATAGAAGTAACAATTCTCCAGCAACTTTTAAGAACACTGGCACTGCCATTCCTTACAGCTTCCTGCATTCAAGCAAACCGGTACCATGCTCCCAGTGCTAGGAATGCAGCCAGCAGGTGAGAGCAGGGACAGAGAGCATTGCCTGTGAGGTCCAGGGGGTGGATTCCTTCCCTGCACCCACTCCCTTCCCACCCTTCCCATAAATTAAGGCATAAGCAGCTTTCAGATGAGACACGTATGTACACGCAATCTTCTGTATTCATGGAGCTGCAGAAAACCAGCTCTTCTTCCCAAGCTACTGATTTGTTCCCAGTCTTGGCATGTTACTTCACTCGTAACAAAGCGTCTCAAAACCATTAACCTCTAGAGCCCCTTCTCAACAGAATACCTTATTTACAGCTTCACCCACACTCACAGTGGAACAGAAACAGCTTCAAGCGTGTGGGACTGGCTGATAGTCCTGCAGTTAAATGTTACAGAAAGTTTTTTCCTATTACAGGCCCAATTGAAGATGCCCTGTGTATAATTTATACTATCAAACTTTCACAACTTTATACAAATTCTCAACAATGTTAAAAAACACTGTATAAAACCATCTTAAGGCACAAAAAGTTAAACAAACGCAGCCCACTGGAAATCTCAAAGCAGCCAATTCAAGAGAAGCTGGCCTTGTAATACATAGTTCATTTATACATGTTAAGCTTCATTGTCATACATCAATACCAGCAAATATAGCACAAAATGTATGCTGCTCAGCATCTACTCTGTTTCACCAGTACTAGCCCCCACCCAAGACATCATCTGTGGTTACAAATAGGAATTGAAATAGCTATATATCCCTCAAATGATTTGCTGTAAGCAATCGTGTGCTGTTACACGTTTGGGTATGTGGGAATGACAGTGTTGTTTTGCAAGGGTGGATGTAAGCCTGCTTCAACCTCAGTGCTTTGCTCAACTTTGTAAAAGCAAGGAAGTATGGATATGGAAAAAAGAAGTCAAAGTGGCAGTGATGGAAGCTGGGAGAAACTCTACTGCACAACAGGATTTCGTAAGTTAGTGTCCCCTCACCCAAGCAAACTGCCTTGGCAAGTGACTGAGCAGTAAAAAGACACCCATCACAAGTACTGTTGTGCCTAAGAAGTCTGAGAGAGATCAGCATTGTTGGTAGGGTCAGCAAACACGCAGCAATGCAGCTACTGCCCACCTCCAGAAACACCCAGGTAATAGCTACTCTGTTGGCTCAGGGATTTAACTTGTCTAACGTTAGTGGCCAGCCAAAGCCATCCAAGAAAACCTTGCACAGGAGCTTCTCAGCAGGAGTCTGTAGGTTACTGCCTACAGCAGGGAAGTAACAGCACGTAACTCGTTTCTCCAGAGTGTGAAAGGCATCGCTGCATTCTGACATACAATACATCCAAGCTCAACTGGGAGTACTAGTGGATGTTTTCTTATATGAAGGTCTTCAAAAGGTGAGAAGCTGCCCTCCCTACATGAATATTCAATATGTAATTGCATAGGGGAAGAAGCCTGATTTAACAGTTCAATTTAAGTGCAAGTTTTCTGATGTGGCTTCAAGAAATGAAGCCTCATAGAAAAATGCTTATTGCCTCCCTCCGTGTCACATAGCTTTCTTTTTTACTAGTGCTTTTCTCCCACCCTTAGCAATGCTGATCAGATGACCCCAGCACTAAGCCATTTACCTTTTGTGTGGAGGAGGGACTGTAATATCAGCACAGAGCCCTGAACTCCTGTTCACTAAAAAGAGTAAGGACAGCCTCAGTACATCTGAAATTAGGAAAGTCTGTAGCAACATGGAAATAAAAGAAGAACTAGGTTAAGAGTTTCTATTCATTGTTTTATAGCAAGAAAACTTTTGTCAGGGTTTATTATAAAGGAACAGCATAAGGAAACCAAATAAATAGTTGAATAGTTAACAGTATGCAATATAATAGTACTAAACTTCAATTACATAAAACTTAAACTTTGGAACAGCATCAATATGAAAGATTTCTTAGAAAACTAGGACTTAGCCTGAGATCCTCAGACCTGTACATTGCAAAAACCAGTCAATTTTGATGCCCAGTTGGTCCCAGCTTTGTCCTCTGCGGGACCATGTCCATTGAGAACTATGACCCATCCATACAGCTCCCTAATCCCACTCTGCCCCATCATACACATGCTGTTTTTCCAAGTCTCTAAGGGAAAGCATGAGGCATGAATTGTGCTTCATTGTTTCAGAGGAAGTGGCAGCACCTTCTTCCCCATCTTATAGCTATATTGAACAAGGTTATGCAATTTAGCCTATGGATGCTTCTTTCTTCCTTAAAGCAGCAGTCAGAGGAAGAGAAATAAGGCAGAAGTGACCTCATACTCCCAGTAAATCCCCAGCTGGGTTCTGGGGGAGGTGGAATCAAGGACTGATTTATCCTTAGTTGGACAAACTGCCTGATCTAACATGGCGAAGTCAGGGGAGAGAACTTCAATGCTGTATCAGACCCTTTGTCGTTCATTTTTCCACTTCTCAACGCTGTACAGTCACACTGAGCTGGATTCTATCAGCACATCTCACCCAACACAGGAGGGAAGGGGAACTATCTCTGCTGGCTCTCAAGAGTGACTGAAGCAAATTCATCACCCTCTGGAGCAGGATTTTACTGTGCTCCCATATAGGGGAGTATCACCACTGTGATCTGAAATTGTTCCCAGATACAGATTTCTTTACCTGTGGGACATGTGCATCTCTCCCTAGAAAAAAGCAGCTCACTGTCGGGCTATACATCAGATGAGTTTGGGTCTGTGACTTGATGTAAACAGAAAGATATACACAGTATAACTCTGAACTCTGTATGTCAAACCAGTTGATCAGATTCTCTTCTCATACAACATTTTTAGATCAGTAGGTAATTCCACTGAAGTCAGGAGTGCTAAGAGGCTTTTGAGGAAAACCCAGCATTATATATTTGCATTAAATGCCAAAACATAACCTAAAATACTCCTTTTGACATCCGTCACTGAAACATTTCCAAAGACAACTTCCCCAGAACACTGGAACAATTAACAAAAACTCTGCTATCCAGCAACAAAAACAGAAATAAAAGTTACAAACAAAAATAAGCTTTTTATCTTGGTTAAATTCCTGTCAGCCACTTGAAATCTTATCTGCTCCATGGAATTAAAAGCTTGGCACATTTTCCCTTAATGCCATTTATCGACTTTTTTTTTAAATCTAGAATAGTTATTGCATATCAGAAATTCACTTGGCTAGGATATTTTTGTTTAGGAGGAATCACTGCCTTCCAGTTACAGCTATGGAGCTCCAGACTTCAGTAAATGAATTCTCCTGGTATTTCTTGCAGTAATGGTTCCTCAAATTTAAATCGTTTGGAAATGGCTTTCTGCTCAGTTGCTTTTTCTTTCTCTGACTGCCTACATTGTCCCAGTGTATATGAAGCCACTACAATCAGTTCTTCTGTCACTACTGATTCCTCCTCTTCATTCTTCTCAGCATCAACTGAATTTTCAGAGGCAGAATCTGCATCTTTCTGGGTGACATCGCTGGTCTCCCCTCCTGTACTCTCATTCCTGGCTCTGCAAGCAGGATTATCACTCTGTTCTAACCATGGGTGTTGAAGACATTCTTCAGCAGTTGCCCGGTCCCTGCAGAGCAAGAAAAGGGTTAGAATAAATGTCCAAATGACTTTGAAATCCAGTACCTTGGAGAAGAGAACCATACAAATTATTCCAAAGATAAGACTGTGTTAAAGACAGAGTGATAGAACTTAAAAAAGAGCTGATAACTACCCTTTACCAAAAAAAGACCAACAGCAACCCGAGGAGATGAACTGCCAACATGTCTAATAAAGGAATCCATAGATCCTTAAATATCACTTTCTGGTCCCATGTTGCCAACCAACTTTTGATGTTTATACATTTTTTTTATATATATAAAAATTATCCAATCTTGACATTCTTAAGGAATCTCCACAGATAAACAGCGCAGTTTCAACAGTAGTTTTCTTGTAGTTTGAAACCTGGAAGTTCCAGTTTGCTTCCCATCAAGAAAAGCAACTAACAAACCAGAAAAGGGTAAGGTACTTAAGCAAAAATAAAAGGCTCAACGCACAGGTCACTTAAAAGACATCAGCAAAGTACCTGCAAGGGAAGTCAATAAACTGTATCACATGGTACAGCTCAAACAGTTTCCTGAAATCAATTTGAGTTTGGACACATTCACAATATGGAGGTTGGAAGGGAAATGGAGGAATTCTCTTTCCATATACAAGAAAAGTAATAGCCTAATGAAATATGAATAACCAAAGTTCCTTTATACTTTAGAAAGGACAATGCCAGCACTTGCTGTATTAAAATGAATCCAGTCTGACATACTGCCGTACACAATTGTGTATTTTACTTACTCGGGTTTCTTAACCAGCAGAGTTTTGATGAAATCCACGGCTGACTCTGATATGAGGTCAAAGTCTTCTCCAGAGTAACTTACATTCATCTGAGATATATTTAAGAATGTTTCTTGTTTATCATCCCCTAAGAAAGGGGAGATCCCTGTTAGCATAACATACGCCAGCACTCCAATGCTCCTAAATCAGAAGTAAAACACAGAAAAGCAGCCCTTTAGTTTTTAGAACAAAAGAAACCCCATTTCAGTAAAGCAAGCTATGACAACTGTTCATCTGTTCAACTCACCACATGTCAGTTGCGGTACTGATGGGGTCGTAACTCAGAATTTCAGGAGCTATTAAGGGAAAAAAAGAAACCCAGATCTTTGTAATTTGCAGAGATTACATTGTAGTTACATAGCGTGATCATGGACATGTGGTAAAATTTAAGACAAGCCATTTGAAGCACAACAGTCTTGAAATCAAGATACTGCTGTTCAAGTGATGTGATTTTAAGTTAAAACATTTTGTTTTCCTTTTATTGCTATCTTCAGAAGCCAGGGCAGTCTCCTTCCCTGCTAAGGAAGCTGTATACAGATTTCTCACAGAAAAATTAGACATATCCAATATTCCATATTCATAGAATCACAGAATAGTTGGGTTGGAAAGGACCTTAAGATCATCAAGTTCCAACCCCCCTGCCATGGGCAGGGACACCTCACACTAAACCATGTCACCCAAGGCTCTGTCCAACCTGGCCTCAAACACCACCAGGGATGGAGCATTCACAACCTCCTTGGGCAACCCATTCCAGTGCCTCACCACCCTAACAGGAAAGAATTTCCTCCTTATATCCAATCTAAACTTCCCCTGTTTAAGTTTTAACCCATTACCCCTTGTCCTACCACTACAGTCCCTAATGAAGAGTCCTTCCCCAGCATCCCTATAGGCCCCCTTCAGATACTGGAAGGCTGCTATGAGGTCTCCACGCAGCCTTCTCTTCTCCAGGCTGAACAGCCCCAACTTTCTCAGCCTGTCTTCATATGGGAGGTGCTCCAGTCCCCTGATCATCCTCGTGGCCCTCCTCTGGACTTGTTCCAACAGTTCCATGTCCTTTTTATGTTGAGAACACCAGAACTGCACACAGTATTCCCAAGTGAGGTCTCATGAGAGCAGAGTAGAGGGGCAGGATCACCTCCTTATATTCCAGCACTAAGCCGTATACCCATATAGGCATACCATACAACTTAGAGATATTTTCAAGTACACTTTTCAAGACCTGGAATGATATATATGTGTGTGTGTGTGTACATATATATTTTAAAATAAAATGGACACAAGCCTCCACAGGCTCAAATGTATTCAGAGAATGAATATGTAATTTTTAGCTTTTAATCCAAGCAATACTTATCATCACTGCTGGTAAGACTCATCTAAAGCATGTACTCACCTTCAATGCAAGCACACAACCATCACTCATTAGACTGGCAAGGTTCACCACTTCTAGCTTTTCCAGCAGTACCACATCCAAGTAATAAACTAATCTTTGGGCACAGTAACTACTCAGCCAGTCTGGCATTCACCAACCTGAGGGGCTCTCTCTTCACTCCTCAAAAGCTGAGACTATACATCACTCACTATAGTAACAACTTACCTACATATTCTGGAGTTCCCATGATTTCTCTTAGTTCCTCACTGCTCTTCATTATTCTGGAAAGGCCAAAGTCCACTATCTTAATGTCTCCCAGAGGAGACTTACTGGTTAGTAGAATATTTTGGGGCTGAAAAACAAAAGGAGATTTTCAGGATCACCCAAATATAATGTCTAGGACACCATACTACCTAACACTTAGATCATGAGCAGCAATAACGCATTCCGTAACAAGTCCAATACCGAGGATTATTTACACTTCCCCCAAGGTGAACTTGGAGACAGGCAGGCTAAAAGGAGCAGCAGGACTTTCTGTTTATAACTGAGAATCACACATCTATGTTTACTAGCTTGGAATACACACAAAACACATGCCAACAGCTGTCATTTAACAACAGCATATAAATACCTTCACATTTGCACCTTTAGTCCCCCATATCACCTGTTCAACTCCCCTGCTTGCTTCCTACCAACAGATGGTGTAAAATCCTTCCTGTGGAAGGGTGTCCAAAAACACCCCATCTTTTAAAAAAGCCTGAACACACAGAACTGTTGACTACCCGTGTTGAAAGAAAGCCTGTTGCAACCAACCTCAATCCTGTTCCAAGTACAAACAACTGCATTACAGAACAGTAACTGCACAACAGGTCAAAAAAATACAGCAGCCTGAAAAACAGGTTTTTAAGAGCATCACCTTTGGATAAACTTGTTTGCTCTGACGTCACTAGATCCTGGCTGTCATCCTTCAAAGCAACTTTGTGGTCATTAAGAAGTTCTTTACCATCTCTTTTAAATGGTAGTTCAGTTTAAAGTCTGAAAGCTAACTTTAGACAACAGGTCTTAGGGCCTTTGTGCAACTGAGGCATATCCTTGCCAAAAGAAAGAAAAAAGGTGTGACCCTCCCTGCCCCAAGGCCAGTAATCACTTTGGGTTCTATTATGAGCTTCTCTGAATGGTAACACTGACAGCTGGCACTGCCTTCATGCCTCCAGTGAGGCAGGGGTCCCCATGAAAATGAGGAAGCCCTTACTTACTGGGAACCTGGATTATTTTGCATCAGGATGGTTGAGAAGGGAGGAGGGCAAAAGAGCGAGAACACCAAAGCAACCACTGGCTGATAATCCACCTGGATTAACACCAGCATCTATACTATTTCCCTCATCACCAAGTTGCTCTCTCCTCACCCCCTTGTCAATCATGAAGGTGTGCTTTCACACGGGTAGCCTTGCTTTTGAACACACAAGTAAAACTGTGCAAGACCATTTTAAAAGCCTCTGGCCAGTTCTTGCTGCAAGGCCTAACTAGAGTCTTCCACTGCTGCAAAGGGATTCCAAATTAACCCCAGCATGTTGTCAATCTGTTTTCTGTTTGTAAATCTGTGTATTAAGAAAAGCTCGTTTTGGTACCTGGTGGCTGCACAAAAGCTTTGGGAGCTGTGCATTACCACCTGCTTTCTAGTTCACATTTGTTATTCTGTGTTTGTATTCGAAAAGCAAACATCCAGAAAAAGCTGACCAGGCCTCCCTGATTAGCCTCTCAAAGGTTCTTCCCAGTGGGAAATTTAGTTACTTCCTGAAGAGGCAAACAGAAAGCACGAGAAAAGCATTTGTTCTTTATATTTAAATGAGGAAAAGTTTTTAATGGAAGCTTTGTGAAACCCTGAAGCCTCTATTACAGTATTATGGCAGATAATACAGTTGCCAGAATAAGGTTTTATTGTCTTTTTTTTCCAAAATGATCTTCTTATTCAAAACACACCTATGCAGAAAAACCCCTACAGTATGAATTGAGTCATAGCCCTAACTCAATTAATAATGTAATACCAGTTGTCTTTTTCTTTGAAGGAAGAATTCTGGGGTTCATGTTAAGTGACAGTCTAAACACCAACATGAAACCTTACAGAAGGCATAGCTTTGAACTTACCATAGTTTTCAGCTTGACACAGTTACTGTAAAACTTCAAGGAGGATCATTTTCACACGTGCGTAACACTCTTTCTGTTTTGGTTTTCCTGTACTATAGCACATCTAGGTTTGCCCAACATTGATCAGCCCATAAAGGCAAGAGAGATGCAGGCCAGAGGCTCTCCTCGTAGCCATTCTAAAAAGGGCTTTTCACTCTTAACCAACAAGCAGCAATGAAAACTGTCAAATGGTAACACTTAAAAATCTCCCCCTCCAGTGCAGTAAGGCTTAAATGTTCCAGTTTAGATCGTCTTGTGTTATGTGCCAAACAAAAACATAGGGAAAAATCCTTGGCTAACTGGGCAATCTGGCCAGGTGTACTTGACTACAAGATTGGTATATGCACAGAAACCATGTGATATAGCCACAGGAGTCTCTAGCCCAATGCCATAGTTGGCACAGCCAGAAACAAGTGCCTTGGGAAGGATTATAACAAGCCAAAAAGCTGTTTTTTTTCCCATGAATACTGTCAACAGCCAGAAAGTTGGGCTTTAGGAATTTGCTGTGTTGGTTATACCTCTGTCATCATGTTAAGAAATGATGCAGCGAAAAGCATCATTTATCATTGCAAAGATTAACTGCTTCTACATTTTTGACTTAAATTGGACTAGATTATTGTCACATGGAGAATACTGCTTCCTTGACACCATGAAAGTCAATGCAAAGGCCAAACTAAGGCAGTGTAGACAAAGACCTACTCTCCTCTGAAACCTTATTCTGCATGGCTGGTTTCTAAAAAATGAGCTTAGTAAAATAGGATGCCCAAAATCCCTACCTTGGCTTTGGAATCTTCTAAACTAAATAATGGCAAAATCCATACATTGCAAATTTGCCACTATTCCAGAAGTTTCTACAAGCCTCCCACCTAGTATCTCTTGTATCTTCAGCTGGTTTCAAGAAGAGTATGACTAAGGATACATAATAAAGGTCATGTTTTTAAGCTAATCATTGCCTCACCCTAACTTGCAACATGAATGAAGTTAGGTGTCTATTTTTATGATACTGTAAAAAACATCAGATTCCTAGAAGACAAGACAGGAATTATCCAAGGAATAATGGGCAGAAACATGAAAAACAGACTAGCTGAGCTACCCTAGCTACATTGTGTGTAAAGACACTATAAAACTAGGCTGATCAGTCTACCCTAAAAACAGTTAAAGAGCTTCCATATCATTAAGAAATGAAATATAGGGGTTTGGGGTATTTTTTGGTCACTTATGGAGCAGACATCCTAGACATGAATCACGCTTTATTCCCCCAAATAAACAATGGAAGTCACAGAAATTAAGAAACAAGACTATAATCAAAATAGGTTCTGTAGAATCTGGATACTCTGTACCTGCCTACTAACAAACAGCTTTGCCTTAAAGGTTTGAACTGCAGATTAAACTCTTCTTTTGCCTTGAAAATTGGATATTTTAAGTTACAGCTCTTCTCTTAGTTTCCTGGATATTCCTTTAGACAAAGGATACTGTGCTTCTAATGATACTCCATTTCTGTGTAATAAACATTCCACCTTAATCCTCCTGGAAAATGGAGAAGATCAGCAGTGTTCCGTCATTTATAACTGCATTAGTTTGCTTTCTGAATATTGGGGTAAAATGACACCCAAAATAATTTCCAATTATTTTGTTAGTTGTCCTCACTGAACACATCTTGAGCACAATACACAAGGAGAAAAGGAAAAGCTGTCTGTTGGATAACCAGAGTGATAATATATAGTACAGGAGACGGCTGCTTGGAGCCATCATTCTCCCAGACACCAGGGCTATGTGAGGCTCTACCTATCTCTGCTGCAGAGAAGAGGCAGCTAGCCTTTCCTCAGCTCCCACACCTTTGTAATTCTCTTCCATTCCCAACTACCTTAAGCTTTCACCAAGCACCAATTCAAGCTGAAGTCAAACAGCAAATGAAAACAGAGGAAGGAGGCTTCCCTTACTCTGCAGCTTTTATGCACCATTAAGAGGAGATGAAAGACTCCTGACTACAATCTATGCACACCCTGCAAATTAAACAGCATCCACACAATACTGCCAAGTGAGACTTAATTTGCACTCTGTAGTGTTATATTTGCCCTTTTTCCAAGTCAAAGCTGGATTAGATGACTGTATTTTGCTATTAAAACTAAGCCATATTTCAATGTCTTTCAGGAGAGCCATGCTTTTGGAAAGAAATGATCAGGTGGCAACCTTGCTAAGTAAGCCGTATCAAAATACCCATTTATTAACATGCAGTGTTTAGCTTCATAGAATATATCCTTCATCTATTAAGTGGACAGACAGAAGCTAAAGCAAGCTAGCTGTCAGTGTCATTGATTACATTTACAATGTAAAACTACAACAAGCGGCTGTCAGGCACATACTGACACCCATTTTGACTTAGATTCTTCTGGGTGTAGAGCCTGATTTTTTTTGAGGGTACAACACATGGAAAATTGGATGGACCTTTCCAAAGTTACCTGTACCAGACAAATGCAAAAGGAAGCCTTTAGAAACCCAAAGGTGAAACCAATAGCACAGAAAACATTTTAGCAAGAATCCGTAAGCTTTTTGATCCTAGCAAACACCTTGTTTAACAGCGGTACCCTTGCACAAGTCTTGCAAATATCACCACAAAACCAAATATTTAGTAACTTCCATAGTGCTGTAAACCACTAGGAGAACCAGCAAGAGCCATAATATAATCAAGAGGAGATTAAGGCCACTAGGTTAATGTACGTGCAGCCAAAACCAGAACCCAAGTTTTTGAGTTCCTTGAAAAAAGGAAATTTCTTCAAGTCTGGCAAGGCATATGGGTCAATCAATCTTCACAAGTCATGGGTTTTAATCCAGTTTGCATCCTCTTTATTTCCCAGTATTCTGAAGACTTCTCTAAACCTTATTTTGCTTAAGACCTTATACATAATGAAAGTAATCATGCTGCAATTAGGACTCCTATTAAGATCCACTTTTCAAATGCACATTGCACACACTGCAGCAATGTCTAAACATAATAAACTCAAACATCAGACAATCTGCTCTGCTACTCAGCTTTCCTAAGGCACCAAAGCGATGGTGGATCCTTCAGTGAGAACTAGACACACTCAAATTTACAATCCAAGTTTTCTGATCAGTCGGAATGTTTTCAAGTAAGCTTTTTCTGAACTGGTTTTAATTTTACACACCTGGCTTCAAAGAAATTCAGTGGCCAACCAACACTGAGTGTCTTGCCTAAGCATACTGGAACTGTAAGGAATTCTAACTGCTTCTGTTGAGTCCTTCTGAACAGTTAGTCTCACATCGCTTGCTAAAGTTTTCCATTCATTATTTTCATCCAATTATTAATATTTATGTGCATGACTAAATCAATGGGCTACAGAAAGTCTTACCGAATTCCACGGATAATTTGAATGATTGGTTGGAAAACCAGGCAGGTGACATTTATGTGCAAATAGTACCCATCATCTGCGTTAGCTGATGAATGGTTCATGATGTGCTAGGTTATACACGAAGTATGTGCAGCTTGATACTGGAGTCTACTGGCAGCTTTGCAATACTGCCAAAATGCAATTAAGTGTAAGTAAGGATCTCAGCAACAGAACAAGCATGCAGCAGCTTACTACGTACTGAGTAAATATGGGAATTGGACATGTAAAAAGACTTCAAAAGTTTCAATGCAAGATACTTTTTATACTGCCTTGCTTAGTAATAAAGCAGTTCAAGCTCAAAATGAGCTCAGATTGCATCTTCCATAGGAGTGTATGGATAAAATTAACTGCAGCTTGGGAGACAATAGTTTTTCTGGATCCCTGTTACAATTCAATTCTTAATCATACTGCATGTAAAAACTGAGTCAGGTCTTTCCCAAAGCACTCATTTGCAATTTAAGCTGCAAGGCAAATCCACTTTTGAATTTATTACATTTCACTGATCAAATGGAGTTTATATTTGACATAATCACAGAAAACTCCCCTGGTGCCTACTGTATCCCAAATGCTGAATTTTATCATTTGAAGAATAGCTAGACAAAAATCGTTTATTATTACTACAAATTAGGGTTAGTATGACAGACAGCCAATGAGAAAGTCAGCAGATAAGAAATTCACCACAAAAATACAGCAACAATCTTACCTTTAGGTCCAGATGAACCACATTGTTTCTGTGCAGGAATGAAACTCCTTCTAAGATCTGCTTCATAAGCCGTTTAACATCCTTTTCTTTGAAGGCTTCCTCTCTTTCAGCCACACACTGGTCAAAGATTTCACCTCCAGCAGCACTATGGAACAATGTGAATTTTACTGTTTCAAAGACTTAAGTTATAGCACCCGTTTTGTTCTGCTTGCACTATTTCATTTAGAGTAAGCAACATCAGTGGGCAGCAGCATCCAATAGTGATATTTTCAGTTCTTAAACATTTGGCAAGCTTCTACAGCCTTGGAAGGCTTCTCTGCTTTATTCTCCTTTGGAGAGAAGTGAAGACCTTAGTCATTTAGGTTAGAGAATGTGAATGCTACAGAAATGTTGGGGACTACTTTGGAACCACTACTGACCATGCTTTTAGATGAATGCCACATTTGTTTAAGGGCACTGTATACATAACAGATGTGTCTTTCACTATAGCTATGAAGCTACATGGTCATTTGGCCAAGGTAAGCCTTTGTGAGCACAAAGCAAAACAGCTCCACCCCCATCCTCCTAAAAACACTGCACATACACAAAAGACTCAATGTAAAGTCTATAATTGCATTGTTTCTGAAGTCGGTGGCATAGAGGGATGCATTAAAGAACTCATCTAAAAACACTTGTGAAAATCTTAGCTCTCTGCTTGCATCCTCATCTTTTGTTTCTATATGCTTAAATAAATAGCAAAGTAACAAAAAATATAAAAATGACTAGAAGTGAATGAATGTTCTTCAAGTACTCCAAAGCCACATAACCATGTAGCATTCAAATTAAAGTAAGCAGAGCAGAGGCTCCATCTTAAAACAAGAATGTGCGTAAGAGCATTGGAATGGGGCCATTTTGCATTACTACCATCGTCGAATTACCACTATAAAATCAGCACATACATACTTTGTTCTGCATGAAGTTCTGTAATCGCCCCTTGGTGAAAGATGGTGAAAGGCCTGAGGACAGCATCTTCTCCAGTTACCCCAAAGCCAGACACGACTCTTTGCACAAGTGTTAATCTGTATTGATGCGTAGCCATCTACTCTTGCTTGCACTTTTCTAACGAATTACATTACCTGGGCAATCCAGAAGACAGAGGCACATCCCATATGAATGCTACAGGAAATGAGATTTCTAACAATGGTGCATTTGGATTATGTACCCCCAGAAAAAGAGCACTTAAATATACTCCAGGTTTCATTTTGCCTATACTATGCTGCTACTGTCCTCATGGTTTATAAAGCAAGTTTTTTGCCTTCCCAGATATTCTTATTACTGTGACTTAAAATTCTTCCTGCAGATAGTCTTACAAGCATTATGAATGTAGAAGAGGGTTGAGTTCTGGGTGCTGGTAACTGGCACGGCAATACAATTTGATTTATCAAACTAAGATTGCCTTTGAGAAAAGAAACACCCATTACTTTCTTTTTCTTCAAAGATGAGAGAGCTCAAATATAAAATGAGGCTTTCAAAGGAATACAAATACTTTAATTGCTCTAAAAAATCTGCATGTGCCTGACACTGTCACATCTTTCTCCAGCACATTTTGAATTCAAAGCAAAAATTAGTACTCTTTCAGCTCTGACTGGGATTCAGATATTGACATTTCAGAACTGGACATGGGCCAGTTTATTCTCACAGTCTAAACCAAGTTCCTTTAAAAAGCAACATCAATTGGAACGTCAAGACAGGGATCGAAAAAAAGTCCACTGTAACTGAGAAAGTTTCTACTTCAAATATGCCACAGAAAGTTACTTGGAAGAATGATTTATTTCCTTGTAGCAGTAAATGATCACATTCAGTGATAAGATCTACTACCAAAATTGCTAACATAATGTGTTTTACAGCAGCAACCCTAAGGTTTTGCTGGTGTAGCTCTGCGACCTAAAATAAGCAAAACAGTACTTCTCCTATTTAATTCTGTGAAATCTGATTTAAACCCAAAACCTGCTGTTGCCAATCAGGGATCACACTGAATACACACAGCTGAAAAGTCAGCAAAGGGTAGGCCTTACAAAGCCCTGTTTGCTGTATGTCTACCTGGTAGGCATCTGTTACACTTAGGTTACACTAATAAGCAAATTAACACTGAAGTAGGCACCAAGCTAAAATCTAAGCTACATAGAATACTATACTTAAAGAACTTAGACTTAAATGTGCTAAAAGTCAAAGCAATGCCAGTTGAGGGAGACAATGTCCCATCACTGAAATCAAGAGGCAGAGCTACCCAATGAGACTAGAAAACACTCAGTTCAGATGACTTTTAAAAGGTATTTCAGTACTTCCCAGTACTTCTGCAGATTCCTAGCTTCATCAGCATTTGTAAGAGTGAGACAAGCAAATAGGCCTTTACACATTCACACCCACTTCATGACTTCGGAAAGAGAGCTATTCCCAGCTAATACAGGCAAATACACTCAGCATTACACCCCAGTTCCATTTTTTATCAACTTTTATTTAGGATGCAGCTGGAGTAACTTCTTCCAGACAATTCCTGCTTTCCAAAATTACCCTAATGAAACAAGCAACTAGCAACCCTTTACAAGAACACGGGAAATTTGTTACTGCCAGCCTGTTCCGTGTATTGTTGCTGGGGAGGGAGCTTAACTGATTCCCTTAAGCAAAACAGTCAGTGGTTCTGAGCCAACCCAGTCACAAGTGTTGGGAGTACAGTGTCAAAACAAACTCCAGAAAGGCTCTCCCACACACCTATGCCAAATTTTGACAAGCTCCTTAACAATAGTTTCAACTCAGTTGTTCTGCATTCCCTAGCTATAGAGCCCAGGGGGGGAAAAATATAATCCATATACAGAAGGGATTAAAATACCTGTGTCCTGATTTCGGCTGGGACAGAGTCAATTTTCTTCCTAGTAGCTAGGAAAGTATTATGGGCATGTCATTGCAATGCTTTCTGACAACATGCAGACCAAGAGTTTGGTGGTGTTCCTCACATTTACCCATTTGTCCTCTGAGAACACATTTTCCATTAAGCTGCATCTTTTCGAATGGTCATTATGAAATGGCAACTCTGCAAACCACTGTGTACCCCCACCCACCTCCACAGAAAGCGTTCCTAGGGGATAAAAGCAAAGAATTGTCCTTAGGACAAGAAAGTCTAGGAAAACAAGCCATCAACCCGAGAAAAGAACTGATAAGGAGATATTTAAGAGCACAAGGTTTGGAAATCCAGTGTTGCTTGGAACACATTATTTCTCCAGTGCATGTTCCCTTAGCTTGGTGTATGGGAAGTGCAAGACATAAGAACTTTTTCCAAACTTAAAAGCTAAGGCAACCAGAATTCTTTAGCTATTTTGCTTATGAAAGCACTGTTGTGCTATTAACTTCTCTGTAGTTTCAAGTGAAATCTAACTGCTCTTCATCAGTGAAAAGCATGCTAACACTTTATTACTGCTTATCAGCATAAAGGAGCTAAAAGTCATTTGGAAGTCTGGAGCATTAATCTTTGTTACAATCATGTTGACTTTCAATTCAATGGAGACTGCTTATCTTCCTTGAAACATATCTTAATGCACTGGATGGAATTCAGCATCCGACCTCTTTCAAGTGCCCTTACAGTACACGAACAGTCATTTAGTGTATCATTAGAAAAAGGTTGAACAAATCTAGTTCAGCGCAGCAGAGAAAATTAAACATTCCCCCAGCTTTAATGGGTCAGGTTTGTCTTTTAAAAGACTCAGAAGTGCTAACCCTTAGAGCACAGAGAGAGGGACAAGCTGCAAGAATACACTTAGTTTCAAATGCTGAGTGCAACCATATACAGTCAGCAAGACCCCAAAATTTGCTTCCTGAACCTTATGCTTGGTCAAAAGCCTTTCTGGAAAAGGTTTTCTTTGGAAGATAAATGGAAATTCATCTGCTATTACAAGAAGATCAACCCAGGTGTTCACATTGCTACCAGCAAAGGAGGTTCACATTCACCACTGCTGACAGTCATACCCCCCTTCTTTCCTTGGCTAAGCATACTAGTAGATTGTAAGCAGGATGTACATTTACTATATTTTTTTTTTCCAGTGTAAGGCTACCACAACACATCGATGTCCCCAAAACCTGAGAAAACTTTAAATCCATCTCTGGTGAGAGGACATAGAATCACAGAATAGTCAGGGTTGGAAAGGACCTTAAGATCACCTAGTTCCAACCCCCCTGCCACGGTCAGAAACACCTCACACTAAACAGTGTCACCCAAGGCTCTGTCCAACCTGGCCTCGAACACCACCAGGGATGGAGCATTCACAACTTCCCTGGACAACCCATTCCAGTGCCTCACCGCCCTTACAGTAAAGAACTTCTTCCTTACATCCAATGTAAACTTCCCCTGTTTAAGTTTTAACCCATTACCCCTTGACATACAGGAAGAGAAGCATCCAAATGCCTTAAGTTGTACATACTATTATTTTAAGTTCTGGTTCTCAGACAAATGCCTTTTTTTTAGAGGGGTATCTTAACCTCTTAGATCAGGCCACCCAAGAACTACATGAAACAGAAGCAAAAGGTAACCAACACCATTTTAAAAGTTTTCCCCTAAAACCTTTTGAAGAGTTCCAGCCTTGCTCTAGGTCTGCCATTTAGAACAACTTTGTCAATTACTGCGACAAGATGCAAACATCAGAGCAGCACCGTTATTGCTGATTCCAGTGGTTCTGCTTCAAGTTCTGTCTGTTGAATCCCATGCCAAGTGAATCATTTCCTTACAGCAGACTCTGACCAGTTACACCTCCAGTAAGTAGACAACACAAGTAGTAACATTATCCAGGTCCAAATATATAGGTAATAAAAGCACTTCATCCAGCATATCCAATGAACCCTGACTGTGCCTTCAAGATGATAAAGACAATGTTTTTAACCTTTGTTAAACTAACTATAACAAAATTCTACTATATTTATACAAGATCCTGGCAGGTAATTACTCAGTTCACCTAAATACACTTAATAGAATCGATTTTGAAGTTACACATACAAGTTTCTGCACTGACTCACTAATATCTTATATCTGTCCCATAGATGTATAAACATACGGTGATGAACACTTACAAAAACACCAGTTGTTAAGCATTAGATGCTCTTTTGCTCTTTCTTTCAAAAGAAAGTCGAAAGAGCCAAGTTATTAAATTTGCTTTTTTCCTTTCATTTGTGATGTGTCAGGTTTTCCAGACTGCATCCCTACAAGTCCCATTTTCTCATTCATTCATTCATTCATTCATTCATTCATTCATTCAAACTTTCACTGAAATACAGGAACACAGCTGGCCCACAGGTTAGGTCCAGGCTTTACATACTACCCTTTCAGACTTAGCTCTTCAGTGCCTACTTAAATACTCTGTTTAAGGTCTTGTGACAACAAACAGAAGTATGGTGCAGATGCAGATAGCCACTGATTTGCTGTCCTGGAGCTGAAGCCAACACTGTAATGCCTCATTGCTTCCCATTGTTCAGCACTTAACAGATAACAGTTAGAGGGCAACTTTGTTTTCTATCAAAAACTGATACTGCTGGAAAGACAACCCTCCATGTAACATTAGTATTTCTCTTCATAAAGGCAAAGCACTAGGCGTCCCTTGCACACCTTAGGATTCAACATAGAATCATAGACTGGTTTGTGTTGGAAAGGACCTTAAGACCATCCAGTTCCAACCCCTGCCATGGGCAGGGACACCTTCCACTAGAGCAGGTTGCTCCAAGCCCCGTCCAACCTGGCCTTGAACACTGCTGGGGATGGGGCAGCCACAGCTTCTCTGGGCACCCTGTGCCAGCGCCTCAGCACCCTCACAGGGAAGAACTTCCTTACATCTAACTGAACTTCTGTTTCGGTTTAAACCCATTGCCCCTTGTCCTGTCACTACAGTCCCTAATGAAGAGTCCCTCCCCAGCATTCCTATAGGATCCCTTCAGATACTGGAAGGCTGCTATGAGGTCTCCACGCAGCCTTCTCTTCTCCAGGCTGAACAGCCCCAACTTTCTCAGCCTGTCTTCATGCGGGAGGTGCTCCAGTCCCCAGTTCATCCTTGTGACACTTTTCTGGACTTGCTCCAACTGCTCCATGTCCTTTTTCATTTGAGGACACTTGAAAACCTTAGCAGATAAAGTTAGTGGCCAACTATTAAGTATTTGTTTTTCTCCTTCCCAAGATAACAATCAGCCACACAAGCCATCAAGCTGAACAGAGACTGAAATGCCCTGGAGAAGCTCGCAGTCTAGATACATTCTTTAACCCTCTGCATATAGAATGTCAGAAATTTACTAACATTCATACCTGTTTTGTTGCAACATGTCTCTGGAACATGCTGACATTAAAGAAGCATCCAGACATATTTGCTGAAATCAGGGGAAGGCTGCTTTTGCAACTTAACAATTCTAACACACAGCGCTCTATCTGAAGCAAGGTAGGACTGCTGCTCTAAAGCTAATAGTGTTGCTAGTTACTGAACAACCTGGCGTCTGCTGAACAACCTAGTTAACACTTTGGATTAAAAATGTTTGGAGTTGTAAGAGTATTGAGCTCTAAAAGAAAACCAGCAATTCTGCATTAAAATTATCACCAAATCCATCAGCTGTATCAAGCTTTGGATCCTACTGTTTGTACTACATCCCTATGGGGATCTGGACATTTAAACTGTATTCTAGGTACATCAGTGCTGCTAGTGTTTAAAGCATGTACTTATGAGTCCCCAGTAACAGCAGTTAAAACTCCAGCAGCTCTGTCACACCTTTGCATTATAACAGATAATTGAACATTTCATGAATTCGATAAAGGCACAATGAAATTGAAAACCATGTTCTAGAAGGAAGCTTGCCTGAGCAGACACTGTGTCATTCCATTTCACTGAACTTCAAAGATACAGCTGCTTTTGACTTCTAAACAAGACCAGACTGGGACACGAGATTTCTCAACACTTCTTTTTGCTGTCAGGCAAGGAAAGAGCCATATAAACTAGATGTATCTTAGCAGACAACTTAAGTCACTTCTGAACTGGTGAGCATCACTGTTCCTCTCCTCATTATTTAAAACCCATAGAGCTTGGACAGGACCTTAACAGAGTTCAATAGCAACAAGCATTTGGCTGCTTCTTGCACCCTAGAGGTCAAATATCTAGGCCACTGGTGTGTTAGATGGGCTGTTACAGCAGCTGCAGAAACATCCATCTGGACAAATTCAAGGGGAGAAAACCACAGATAAATGTAGAGTTAAAAGATAAATGTAATTTGAAAAACTCTTCTAGGTCTGAATCCTCTTTCTTTCCCCAAAAGATAATGACTGAGAGAGTTTTTCATTGTAGATCATAAGGGATTTTGATAGATTCTTTTTAATAATAATGTTGTTTTCAGTATTTCATAACTAGTAAAAAACCCACCCCAGATTTTACCCATCTTTGTTACTGTAATGAAACATACTTCAGTTTTTGAACACATGCTCACTGCTTCTTTCCTCATCCTTTTTTACAAGTAGGGAGTGTACACAGTTCTTATTTCACTATGATTTAACTACATAAACTAGTTCAGCTTTCAAAGATACTGCATCACTGGAGAAAGTTCTTGACGAATCTGCAGTTGTTAAAAGAGTTCTTGCAATACTGATTTGCTTCGCAATTCTTTTGAACTCAAGCAAGTGAACAGGCAAGCAAAGTACTTTCACATTATTCATATTGACACACAGTATTTTTACCTTATTAGTTTAAAACAAATACTGCAGAAGGTTATTCAGGAGTTATTACTAGTACTTACTATTCCAGGACTAAAATCATCTCTGTTGCAGTTTCATAAACCTCGTGCAAGTTGATGACCCACAGGTTGCATTGTGCCAGCTCAAGGACTGCAATCTCATGGATTATTTCCATCCGACAGTCTTGGCCCTTTCTTCTTTTTCTCATGAACTTTGCTGCAAACTCTCTTTCAGTGTCTTTCTGGATACACTTCTTCACCACGGCAAACTTGCCCCTGAAATTAAACAAGAATTTAAAGTTAAGTCCCTTAGTGACAAATTCAGTATTGCCCTTATAAATCAACATCTCAGGAAACTTGAGCTAAACTGCCATTAATGGATACATTTAAAATGTTCTCAATTAAGAAAGATGTCTTGCTGAGTGATAATCCCTACACTTAAACACCACAACCCAGAATGTAATTTAACCTCCATGAAAAATAAGGGCTTAAAAACCCTACCAATTCAAGGAACCTGGATTTTAAAAAAACCCCACAGAATGAACAAGCTGTGCTAGGTCTCAAGATGAAGTTCTCCTCAAACCTTTCATTTAAAATGAACAAATGACATGTTCATTTAAAATGAACAAAATGACAAAATCAAAGTGTACAAATAGACAACCTATGCTTTGTATGACTATGCCCAATAACCCAGTCAGTTTTACAAAGTATCCCACCATAGTCAAGGCAACAGCAACCAGCACTCTTACCGAATAACTACTTGAAGACCTGTTCCATTTACTATGCAACATCCAGATTCTGCTCTGCATTTTCAAAGACAGCACTTTGTATTTTCACCATAATACTTCTCAGATGATATTTTTATCGTTTAACAGCTCTCAAAATCTGTTAGCCTCACTGTATAAGACACACGGGTGATCTTAAAATAAGCAGTTTGGCCAATATAAAGTTTTCTAAGAAGATTTGTGACAACAATGTGAACACAAACACACACTGAGCATAGCACTTAACCCACATTAATGAGCGTCACGTCTGACAAAACACACAAGGCATGAGTTACACCAAGCCAGCAGGCTAGCTAAAACCACACTGCAGCACTTGCGTCACAAGACTTCTCCCACAGCAGTCTGGGCTCAAGTGTCTGCTCTAAACTTCCTTGCAGTAGAGTCCCACCTGCTCCACTTGGTTCTATTCATGCAGTCCTGATATTTTAACTGAAAAGGTCTATTAATTATTCTCTGTCATCTAATACAATAATGAATTCTCATTCTTTGAAGTACAGCAATCTTGTTTTAAGTCTTACCATACAGGTATAATGTTCATCAGAACTAGCAGCCTTCCAGTATGTGAAGGGGACCTACAAGGATGCTGGAGAGGGACTCTTCATCAGGGACTGCAGAACAAGGGGTGATGGGTTTAACTTAAACAGGGGAAGTGAAGGTTAGATATGAGGAAGAAGTTCTTTACTGTAAGGGTGGTGAGGCACTGGAATGGGTTGCCCAAGGAAGTGGTAAATGCTCCATTCCTGGCAGGGTTCAAGGCCAGGTTGAACAGCCTTGGGTGACATGGTCTAGTGTGAGGTGTCCCTGCCCATGGCACGGGGGTTGGAGTTGGATGATCTTAAGGTCTTTTCTAACCATTCTATGATTTTTATGTAAAAATCTTCTTATAAAGCTGCAGGAATAGCTCAGAGATCTTTATTCTTTCCTCAACTTGCTATAGGGTTGCTGAAATCAAAAGAAGCATCCTCATCTGGTCTGGAATACAATGACATGGGGTTTACCTTTCCTATCTCCAAACTGAAGTTCACAGAATTAGCTAATTCAGCTCATGTCAGAGTTTTCACTCTCACAGCTCCCAACCTATTGGCACACTGCTATCCATGAAATGTCACTGCTAAAAGAAGTTGTGGCCAGCTTGCTTTTCATAGGCATTTGTTTCAAAATCACCCAGTCTACATGAAGGAAGTCAAATAAGCACCCACAAAGAGGGTATTTGCTAAGCAATCTCACTACAATAATTGGACTTTTAACCGCTGATACAGCCACAGCTATTCCTCTAGGAATAATATTTTGCATAAGTACATATTATCTACAGCACAGCGTGTGTTACGCCCAGATCGGAGCACAGCCCAGATGTCTGTGAAGGCACACAAACTGTAAGAATACGCTTTCAATGTCCTGAATGCGATTTTGGGGGGAGAAAGTTCTTAATTATTAATATGCCCGTTAAGACAACATTATAGCTTTGCAAAAGCCTGAAAAATAATATTATAGGATTTCATAGCAGGTCAAAAGATTACTATAAGGTGTGTTAATTGATACAGAGTTACCACAGAAGGAACAGACACCTAAATGCTAACAACCTGCTAGGTGTCTAGTACACATCTATCAAAAATCACGTTGGAAGATATGCGTACAGTGGAGACAGCTCATCAAGAAACATTGGAATGTGCTAACAATGCTTCTGATCCCCAAAATACTGCAAGGATAGTGTGTATTTTAGCTCGATTTCTAGGAAGCTTGTGACATTAGTGTTGCAGCTACAAGTATAAATATCCCTTCAGTACTGCAATCCTAACCACAACACACAGCAACCTTCCCTATGGAGCCAGTGAAAAGGATTTTAAGTTATTCCAAACGAAGGCATGCATCTGTGACATTCATGTACAATCTAAAGCTATGCATTTAGCAAAATGGTTGAAATCCTTGCTGGACTTTTTAGCACCAAAACCAGTACAAGGATAAAACCTAGCAATTATGCTGACAAGCAAAAACCCAACAGATAAAAATAAACTGAGATACTACAAGATAAGCCCTTTAAAAGCAAGTTATTTTAATACCCAAAGATATTAAGAAGAAGATATTAAGCTTCTGTACCAAAAATCTAGACCCTTGCCTTGGTTCAGCCTTCTCTGTTCTCCTTAAACAGCCTCTGAATGCAGTTTCCTTCTGGCTGTATGTTGCCTTTGCATGGGGTCAACAGCTTTTAATTCTAGCAGCAGTGAAGGACCTAGAGAAAGCAGGTTAGGGAAGTCTGAAATCTCTATAACACAGCTTTCAAGAAGCACTGCGCTGCTTTGCATTACATACAAAATCTATCTGTGAGCAAGTTAATTAGCCTAATGAGTACCAATGCTGCCGATTCATGGCACATTAGTCACTATGGAAAGGAAACAGTATTCACGGGGCAGCAAGGAACAGCAAGAGCCACCACTGTGTGTGGCCACACGTCATGTTCGGCTGAGCTGGCCAGAAGCCTGATAGGTGATGCCATTAAAAGGACAGGTTACACGGGAGTTTAGCCAGCTGACAAATACTAATTCTTAGTTGTTTCAGACCAAGAATCCTGCCCAGATTCCTTTTGCCTATACCTATAATTAGAGCTGCTAGGACTGCTGCCTGTTAGAACTCATCTGTTCTGAATACAATCCTAAAAAAGATCAAACTTGATGAACCTGATGCTTATAAGTAGCAGAACTAATTTCTATGCACCAGTCTAGACCCATGCCCGAGACGATTTCAGAGCTCAGATCCAAACAGACCATCCACTGTATGGTTAGACCAAAAGAGAAGCTTGTGAAAGATTGCTTTTTGATAGAGACAGAATAGTAAATAAGATAGATAAAAACGTGCTTTCCTATAAGCTATACTGCATACACTTAATCTTTGCGTTTCTTTAAATGCTGCTTTTCAGAACTCCTTATAAAACAAATAATCTACTAAATAGTGAAAACACTGTTAGAACAGAGCACTGCTAGTTTGGCTGTCTTGAGAAGAGCTGGTGGCGAGAGCAGTGCATTGAAGGAAGAACAGTTTTGAGAGGAAACGGGGAAATGCTCATTTCCAAAGTTGAAAACTGATTACCAGTCATCCCAACGCAAACAAAAATGCTTTGAAGGCAGACATGAAGAAGAAACTAGAAGTAGTTCTCAGTCCTCACAAGAGTCTCATTCAAGAATTATGATTTAAGATAAATCATATCTGATTACAAAGAAGCTCAATGTCATCTTTTCAGACTGTCAATAGAATTAGCATTGTTTCATCTGGCATACATTGTGGCTTAAAGGAAAAGCCTCAAATCACAAATCAAGTGTCAAATCAGGTAAGCAGGAACATTCATGTCACATCTGTTAATTTTGGTTGTCATAAGCTCAGAAGAGCAAAGAACAAGCCTTACTTTAATGAGTATTTTTCAAGTGACCCATAAAACACTGCAACAAATGCAGGAATAACTGCAATTCCTGTGAAGACATTCACTTTTTGTAAAGCTCAGAAAAGTTTTGAGACCCACAAAACTACATGCAACTTATTTCATAACTCATATCAAACCTTTTCTAAAGTGTGTTTCTTTTCCATACAATTCCCAATTTCCAAAGAGCAAGGTGCAGGGATTCCATTTCTGATGTTCATGAATAATCTACTAACATAAAATTGTTCTCAAATGGTGGAACCAGCTACTTGTAACTCTTCATTTTAACCTCTTTCCCACTTCCACTTAGCTCCACAACTGTTTCACCCTCGCTGTGCTACCCCAGAGGGGAGCTGCAGACCAAAGTGTGATAGCATATACATTTTTACTGATGCAGAAAATATACAAGTGCCATGTACTACTAAGACACACACATTACTGAAAGTTACTTAAATAAATAGGGAAGTTCATGTCAGAGTTTATGGGTAACAAAAGAAGTAAAATATTCAAAGACATGGGCTATCTGCATGTGAAACTACAGAGTGCTCCATCAATGAGCTGAAGAATTCACTAACAATCTAGTAATATTTTGTGTGAACTTAGCTTTTTGTTGATGGAAAGGAGCAAAGCACCTAGATTCAGTTATACTAGACTCTTTAAGGAAGTGCTAGGTAAGACAAAATACATTGTTCCCCACTTTACAGTACAATTATGGCTGAAGCGCAGATGGTAAGGGGAAGAGGAGTTAAGCAATTGGTGTTTTGTTCTCTGCAAAGGTTACATCACTTCAAACTAACCTAACTCAAGCTAGCACCTTCTGAAAACACTGAAGTCTGAGCGAGCTGATGGGAAGTGGCACCTTTACAACACCCATCAGAGGTTTGATTTTAAACATCACGCAGATTAAGATTTGTGTGAGAATATTCCGATTTTGGGACAGTACAATTCATTAAGACTGTGAAGACTAGCCCAAATTTTCATTTGTTAAAATATTTCATTAAAAAACCCCTGCTATTTCCATGTCTTCCTAAGCAGCTTAAAAGAACTTTTCCAAAGTAGCCATTGTATAACCATATTTTGGGGTATTTTTCCTAAATTAATTCATTTTGCCTAGCAGCTGTATTTCGAGAGACTTGCAAATGCCTGCTCAACTACTGAATGAGGCAGCAGCCTTTTGAAGCACTGAGCTTTACATTCTCAAAGCAGTTGCTGTGAGAACCTGTGATCAGGTTCCTCCCAGGCTCACTGACACTTTCAGCAATACTTTCCCAGGAATTTCACCCTTAACATGCCACCAGTGGCCAGCAGCCCCACTACCTCCCTTCCCTGCACTGCTAGAACTACAGCACCTTAATATTTCCCCATGTTCCCCCCTCTTCCCGGGAGGAACACATACCTTGTGTGTGCAAGGACTGCTCTTCATCCGAGACAAAACCCTGTCGTATCTAGGTGCTAGTTTGTCAAAGTCCTGTCTAAAGATACACTCTAGCCATAAGTAGTGACTTACTTTATGAACAGATAAAAGTGAAACAATTCCTGATAAGCATTCACTATCAATAGAATGAGAGACAGTTACAAGAGGCAGAGACTTTCTGTTTACCACTCACATTTTGTCACGAGATAGCAAAACCAAACATTTTAATGAGTCTTTGAGCTGAAGCATTCACTTCTTTTAATCAAAATGCAGCAAGAAAAGGCATTCACAACTGTTGAATAAAAATGCAAGCGCATACATTGAAGTGCATTGATGTCTATAAGAGAAAAGACAGTGAAAGCATTTGTGAAGTTGAGGGGGAAAAAAAGGCATAATCTGAAATGAAATATGTGCAATTGTTGCACAAAACCAGGACAAACAGAACGGTCACTTAACTACAGGTGCAACATCACAGCCTACATGCAAAGATCATCTGTGCATGTACTCTGGTCAAAAGTGACTCCACACAAAAAGCCTGCTGGGATTTACTTGTTTAAACTGCAGAATAAGATCTACTGTGGAACTTCATTCTTGTTCATGGTGTAAAGCTAATCACTTCGGTTGTACTTCTGTGTGCCTGAAGGAACCCTCATCCTGTCTCTCTTCTGATTAAGAGAAACTTAATCGGAGACACCAGCTCGAGGGGAAACTCTCGATCTGCAGCAGAACTGCAAAATACCTTTAGTGAAAAGCCACCTGATCTCCAAATAAAAAGCCTGGAGCAGCAGCGATACCAGGACACTGTGCCGTGCTGCTCCTACGCCTTCTTGGCTGTTGCTTAGAATTCAGGCTGTTTCATAGCCTGTATTTAGTCAGCTTCAGCTCCCAAGCCCTGGACATTGTGGTCACATCATGCTAAAAGAAGTTTTCTCACTTCATGGGAAGTTTCTCCCACCTGCTTCCCATGCGAATGCTTTAGGCCACTATGTTTAAACAGGTATTATCCTATTAGTGCACCAGAGCTACTAAGTGAGCATTAAGTTGACACCTAGGCAACCTAAAGTATTGTTGCTTACAGCAGGTACATTTGCTTTGAAACTCCCCTTTAGCTTGGAAGGGGTAGGTTCTGCTGCTGTACAGACTGAGCTACACAGCCAGGACAACTTGCAAAAGAACATAGATTAAGGAGGGCATCGTGTCATAGATCCTGTGGTATTTCATCTAACCTCTTGTATTGGAATACTCTTTAGATAAGGCACATGTGATTGTGAATAAGGATACTGCATTCTTTGGTAAGAAGTGACAACTTCAGACAAAAATACTGGTTTAGTGGTGCTGAAATTCCATATATGTAGTTCCTGAGAGGCAAAAAGCTTCTAAAAAGGCTTTCTGTCCCAAACCTTGCTATCCGCCAGGTGTTGAAATTAGACATTGATTAAACCTTACATGTGGAATCACTTTCAAATCCATGTTCTAAACCAGCTTTTTAGTTCCTTGAAGAGCTCCACCACTGGATTATTCTTAAGCACATGCTACCACAACCCCGTCTCCTCTAGACTCGCTTTCCTCCGTATCCCAGCTTAAGGAAAAACCACCCAAACGGGCAGGTTTCTGTCTCCAGTGGAAACCTGGGCCAATGCTCACTGCCCACACGGGCTCCCGGGTCACAGCCAGCTCCGCCGGGCCGGGGTGACACCGCCAGCAGCTGGGGTACAGCTGCGCTGACAGCTGCCGCCCGCACCCGGCCCAGCCCAGCCCAGCCCAACACCCAGGGCACGTCCTGCGAGCTCACCCCAGCAGGGAGACTCCAGCAAAGGGTGGCACCGACAGGGCAGTGACCCCCACCTTCCCCTTCCTTACGCTAACTCTAATGGCGCTCGGACGGGCCAGCAGGTGAAACCCTGCCGGCAGCAGTCCGAGCGGGGAAGAGGTGCTCCGCCGCGGGCACCCCCCTCACACCCAGCGCCTGGAGCGGGTCATGCCGGCGGGGCTGGCCCCCGGGCACCCCTCCAGCGCTCGCTCACCTGCCGAGCTCCCTGCCGGGGCTGAGGCTGTACCGCTCCTGGAAGGGCTCGGTGCGGATGGGCGTGCGGATCTCCGTCAGGAAGCCGCCTCGCCGCCGGCCTCGGCCGGGAGCGGGCTGAGGTGGCGGCGGTGCCCGGTCATCGGGGGAGCGGCCGGGTGGCGGCTTCTCCTCGGGGCTCATGGCTTCTCCTGTAGCAGGCAGAGGATGGGGTCGCGCTCCCGCTCCGGTGCTCACTGCAGCGCCGGGGCTAAGGCCGGGGCTAGGGCCGGGCTCCCCTCAGGCTCCGCGGTGAGCCGCCAGCCGCTGCCGCTGCTCCGCGAGGTCGGCGGGCAGCACGCGCCGCGCCAAGGGGACGTGGCCAGGAGCGCGGCCCCGCCTCTTTAACGCCTCACCTTGGTGGAAGGGAGGGCAGCGAGGGGCGGGCGCCGCGCGGCGCTGGCAGGGACAGGAGGGTAGCGCCACCTGCCGGCGGCTGCTGGAAGAGAGCAGGGGGGGTCAGGGTTGAGGCAGGAGGAGGGACATGGCCGCGGTGTTGGGGTTAAGTGCTGATAAAGCCGAGGTGAGGATCCGAGCCCAGCCAGGCACGGACTTGCCTTCCTAGGATGCTTTTCTTCGGTCTGCCCGGCGCGGGAAGGCTCTCAGGTGTGCCCTGAGGGAGCACCCTGAGGGCTCCCGCGGAAGAGCAAAGCCTGAGGTAAAACCGGCAGAGCTGGTCATGGAGGGCACGTCCGAGTGGGGACACAGGGCTCGGCCCATCGTGGGGACACTGGGATGCGGGGCTGAAGGAAGGTGAGGACAAAAGGGGCAGCAGCAACTTGGAAAGGGAGAAATAAACCTGAGCCCTGACTGAAACCTTGGCCTCTGCGGTGGCTAAGGCACAAGCTTCAATTAAGCCTTTCCCAGAGCTGGGGCATGATTAGCTCCTCTCCTCCACACATACCTGAGCTTAAATGCTCCCTATGAGGTGTGCAGGAACTGCCTCCAGTCATCCGTCTGTGGGACGGTGGAAATTGTCTCATGGATTCCACATAGCATAGCTGGAAGAGGCTTGATAAATGCCGGCACTGCGTGTGCATCACGAGCCCGCTGCCGTCCAGCTTCCCTAACGCACGTGCCAAAGGGACCAGCTCCTGACTGGCAATCGCTTATCAAGGCAGTGCTGCAGTGTTTGTCTCCATTGAGGGCACAGAATCTCTTTGGCAACATCCAGAGCACGGAGAAGAGAATAATGAGGAAACAGGGCAACATACAGGAAAGGATTCAGCCCAAGCCCCGATCAGGGATGGGAGTGCAATTGCTGATAAGGCATCTTTCTGGAATTCCCTCCTTCTCTTAATGCCAAATCTGGTTTGCAGAAATAGTTTAGGAATAAATTCCAGGACCAGTACATAGAGTATGGAAAATTTGGGACTTACGGTATATCAGTGTGCTTTCCACTCAGAGCATCACTTAAGTTGTAACAGGGCCAGACTGTTACTGAACAATAAAATGGGGGTTAAACGGGGGCTAAGAAATTGTTACATCTGAAAGTACATCAGAGGTGTTTACTACAGAGAAAAGGTTATTGCCTGGTAGAGCACATCTTGAAAGCATGTTAACCCTAAACGAAGATCGCGGATGCTCAGTTCTTGTGGTAGTTCCTACTTCTTCACTTTCACAATGACGTTTTCCTAAGGGAGGGAGCCTGCAAAAAAACTAACAAGAAGGAGTGCAGCTACTGATTCTGGAATATGAACACACCTTCATAATGCTTTGGGAATACTTCAAAATACTTTGGGATATTTAAGGTTCTCTGGACATATTTTAAAATAAATCATGACTTTTAGATTCTTAAATGCCTTTAAAAATCTTGCAGTTGGTTCTGTTGGGCTTACATTTTTTCCCCATGTATGATTATTTTATTCAGATAAATTTAAAATATATTTGTATCTACCTTACAGTGAGTTTTGAGTTTATTCCCATCTGGAATATAGTTCCAGAAGTACTTTTATTCCATATAGTATGGACTAATAGTCTGGAAGTACTTTTATTCCATATAGTATAAAAGTTCATCAATTCTCCTTCCATAGGGAGTACCAAAGACATGAGCAGTCTCTTAAAAGAACAGGAAGGAGGATTTGTTGCATTCTTATAAAGAATTACCCACAAAAGAGGAAGAAAATGTCAAAAAGATAAATTGTGCTTTACTGTCTTGAAAACTGACCCAAAATAAAATCTTTCCCCACTTTTACTATGCACTAGCCATAGAACAGCCTATGCTTTGCCTTTTGCCAGAGTATGATGGAGCCGATATATGCTGTACTACATTTTCCCTCTAGAAAGGATAAACACAAGCTTTATGACTCACTGTAGTACCACCTGTGCACTAAACCAGCAGTGATGTTAATTGTAAATACTGCAGCTTAAGCCTGTATGTGCTATCCACACGGAGAAACTTGTGAATATGAAACATGCGGATATGAACAATGCTTGATTTATTCAGAGATAAGCTAACAGGCACATCTAGGCTGGTTACTCTCATGTCTTACCTACCGATAAAGTATATGATTTTCTTTCTGTTGTTTGGATATTTGGCTTCAATCACTGAAATATTAATAGCTGTTATATGCTCAATTGCACTCAGATGGTACAACAAACATTGATTTCTTCTTGTACAGATAACATTAACTCTTATCTGTTTTTTGCTTTTCTTCCAGGAGCTTCCAAGGAATTCATTCTCATGAGCTGTGTTCGGCCTGGAAGCTGAAAAACAGGAGGTGAGGTCGAAGACACCACCACAGGGATTCTGTTTAAAAGAATGTCCTTTTCAGTTTATGTCTGCGTGCACTGGAGTGAAAGAGCAATTTCGATTCTGCCCTGAAGGGGCAGATCAAATGTGGGGACATGAGCTTTGCTCAGTTATACCAGTCTGACTCTAGCTTGATCTTCATGGGACATTCCTCTTCCCAGTATGAATATATTCCAGCAACTTGTACATGAGTTACCCCAAAACAATAATAATTGTCATCATGGTCTATTTATAACAGAAACATGAAATCTAACCATCCATCCAGCACACATAAGATTGTTTTTCAGGTGCTAAATTCATCGTTTCAACTTCCATAATGATAGAAACCCATGATCTTCTGTGTCTGGAATTTCTGCAGGCTGCTTAAATTCCAGATGAAGTTAGTTATTTGGGTACCTATTTCCTGATGTGATTGTTTTATATATGAGGCAGCAGAAAGAGTATACATTCCTCACCTGTCATCATGTAAAAGCACTTACACAAGAGCTCTGAGTACCCAACACCACCACTGCAAAACACTTCTGTACCAACTGAGGATTTTACCAGCTGCAACAAAAAAGCATTCCTAGTCTTCACTTTCTAATTTAAGGAAGGAAAGCACAGCTCCACTAAGTGGCAGCACTAGGCACCATTATTGCCAGCTTCACTGAATTATCTGTATATTTGTGAGAGATTTAATATAAACTACTACTTAGATTGCAACAATATGTATGCCTCTTATTATTTTGCTCATAGGGTTTGATTTCAGCATTCCAAGGACAGATGTACTCGGAGAACCTAAGAGTAACCTTACAAAATACTTTCCCAGGTTCATATTGTGCAGAGATTTCCACTTATGAACTTTACATACAATAACATTAATTTACCAGTTGAAAAACACATCATATGGGTCCTCAGAAGTTATACTGGATGGTCCTCAGAGCAATTTCGCAGCTTTTCTTCAGTGCCAAAGCAGTTCCAGACACGGATTCATCTTACCCAAATTAGGCAGACCATCTCTTACAAAATCCAGGCTGCTTTACTATTCACCTTATGTCTGTGTCCAGAGCATAAAGATAACCTGTTTCAGTTTGTGCATTAGGATGACTAAAATATATAGCTGAAGCACAATTATAATGTCCAAAAGGCATATTGCGTGCTTTACATACCACAGTAGTAGGGGTTAACTGAGCTCCCACTTGTGTTAATCAGTGCATTTTAGATCACTAAAGCTGTCAACTAACATGCCTAAAGCAGGGAAGTTTATATTCAATGGCCAAAGATGCCAAAGCTGTCAATAAACATATCCTCACACATTGTAATTATAGTCTTATGAAGTAATCTGTATTACCAATTTCAGTCATTCTTAAAAGTCACCAGTGGGATTGAATACTAAGACATACCTAAGAGGTACTGAAGTCAAATCACAGCCTGTAACAAAGTTCCTAAGCAGATTCCAGTGCTGCCCCAGCTGCATTCCTGAAAAGCTGTTATCTAAAAACGATGACTCCATGTGGCACGCTGGTTAGGTGCCTATACTGCTTTGTCTACAGGCTGAAGCACACTAAATCCTGAAAACAGAAAAACAAGAGCATGCGCCACTTATTTTTGTACGCTGTTTTGATTCTGGAAGACCAGCATGAGGAAATCCCAGCCAACAATAGTTTCTTCAACTGCTATCTGTGGTCCATTTTGAAACTGACTAAACAGATTTTCAGTGCCCCACCACAGAGTGTTTAGAGCATTTTTTTTTTACTTACAACTGATTAATTTTGTAACTGGGAAAGAAGATAACCCAAACCAATCCTTTATTTTCATGCTGTGCAACTTAAAAGCTGAAGGTATGTCCCTAAACTGTATTACTCTTCGCAGAAAGAAAGGCAAAAGTGACCTTAATATTACTGTTGCTTAGCATTGGTGCAGAAAGCTTTTGCATGCGGCTCCACTATCTTCTTATGCCATAGGAGTTAACTAAATTAAATCCTACATGCCAGCAATTCAGGAAAAAAACATCATTGGTTGCAGTCTTTGTGTTCTTCAGTGACTGCTGTTCTATTCAATCTCAAAGAGCGCTGGGGGGATGAGCTTCATTTACACTAAAGTTAAAACAAATGTGTTTTACACCAAAGCCTAGTATAAATAAGAATCAAGTCTAGTGTTTCAGACAGGATAATCTATAACTTTTTTTCTTCAAAACTTATTTCCAAGAGGGTAGGAACTAAACAAACAAAGCCACACGCTCCTCTTTTGATATACCCATGAAAGGTTATTTTCAGGCAAAATTGATTTTGAAGGCTACTACAATTATATTTAAAAAAGAAATAAAAGAGTGTGGCTTTGCAGCTCAAGGAGGATTTATGATGAGAGGAGACACAGCAGATCCTTTGCGGCTTTGTTTTCCACTGTTCCCCAGCAATGTTCCCCAGCTATTGTCCAGCCTGGCCTCTTATAGAAGAATGAATGCCAAGCCACAAGTGCATTTATTGTCCATTGTAGCAAAGAACTATGACTTTCCTACCTCCGGGTGGGAAGAGATTATTATAGATTTGTAATGTCCTACGGGATTATGGAGTTTGGTTAGCATACCAAGACAGACATCTGATGTATGCATGGAGGCTTCAGGTGGACTGCTGCTGTGTTTTAACAGAAGTACAATAACGTATCATAGAACGGGTTCTGGTAAAAGCCACCTAAACTGACACCTTGAATGTACCCTGACCATCAGTACCTCATCTCTACTGATTTTTCCTCCCTTCATATGTGAAAGTGTCAAAGGAATGTAGTTTAGTATCACACATGCCCTTTCCTTCCACTTCCTCCTCACATACATGAACAATCACACAAAGAGGTTCAAGACCTGGATTTCACGAGCACGTGCTTGCCACCACAAACTTCCCTGATGCAGGAGAGCCAGGGGCTTGTGGAACGAAATGCAGTGCCAACTGCGGAAGGTCTCCTAAGAATTGTCATAGTCACAGTTTCTGATTGCTACTGATTTGTCTTATACAAGATATGCTTACCA